CTCCTCCAGGAAGGGCTCCTTGTTTAGCCGAGCCAGCGAGCCTGTTCCCCGGCACAGCAGGCGCCAAGCTGCCAGAAGCCGGTTTTTCTCCTCCAGGAAGGGCTCCTTGTTTAGCCGAGCCAGCGAGCCTGTTCCCCGGCACAGCAGGCGCCAAGCTGCCAGAAGCCGGTTTTTCTCCTCCAGGAAGGGCTCCTTGTTTAGCCGAGCCAGCGAGCCTGTTCCCCGGCACAGCAGGCGCCAAGCTGCCAGAAGCCGGTTTTTCTCCTCCAGGAAGGGCTCCTTGTTTAGCCGAGCCAGCAAGCCCGTTCCCTGGCACAGCTCCCAGGCAATCGTAGGACCCAGGTCTGCCGGAGCACGAAAGCGCCCGAACGCCACCTCGCGCGGGCAGCGGGCTCCCGAGCGTTCAAGCTCCGCAGAAGCCAGGAGGCTCAGATCGAGCTTCAACCCGGCCTCCGCGATTGAGCTCTGGCCCCAGCCCCGCGATCCCGCACTTGATCTGGCAGCCAGCAATCGGAGGGCGAGGAGAGGGAGAGGGAGCAGAAGAGGGGGGGAGAAAGAAGAGGAAAAAAGAGAAAAGAAAAAAAGAACACAAGACGCGAACCGGTGCGGCGGAGGTAAGCGCTAGCCATCCGCCACCGGCGCCATCTTGTGCAATTGAATAAATAAATAAATTATTTAGATGATTATCTTTTTTTGTGGTGAAAGTAACTCTGGGCAATGTAGATTCATATTAGAATAATTTCAAGCTATGGCAGGAGAACTGGGATAACCCTTAGCAGAGGACAAAACGGAGGGTCCCTCCACTTCTTTGACCTTTTTGGGTATAGAACTAGATACACAAATACAAGCTTGCAGACTACCAGACAAGAAACAGGGCAAGCTTAAGATTCGGATTGGTTGTATGTTAGGTAAGAAGAAAATTTCACCCAAGAAGCTGCAAGAAATAGAAGGAAATCTGAACTTTGCATGTAGGATAGTGGTGCACATTACTGAGATTATGTGATGACATGTGGTGGGTCCATTGCCCATTTCATAGGACTCGGGTGACAGCCAGCATGAAACAGGACTTGCAGGTGTAGACCCAGTTTTTGGAAGGGTTTAACAGAGTCTCCTTTTGGAGATCCGAGTTGAAACTCAGGGCTGATTTCCAGGTCCAGACCAATGCAGTAGGCTCTTTAGGCTTTGGAATTTATTTTATGGGAAGATGGTGTGCAAAAGTATGGCCAGAAGAGTAGCATGAGGAAGAGATTACCCAGAATCTAACGTTTCTGGAATTTTTTTCCCCATAGTAGGTGCATTATGGTTGTGGGCAAACAAATGGGCTAACTCCATCATGTGCTTTTGGTGTGACAACTTGACAGTAGTTTACAACCTCACTTTGCATTCTGAATGTATGATGACCCTAGTATGCACATTTACATTGCATACTTTAACATTCAACTTTCTAATTCAAGCGAAGCATATCCCTGGCCTTGACAACACCTTAGCAGATGCCCTATCCCACCACAGATTGGTCAGTTCAGAGAATTAGGCACTTCCTAGAGGTTTGGCAAATTGGCAGGATGATGCAGAAAGAGCTATAGGGCATTGGCCCCGAGGACATGGAAAGGGTATGCGGCACTGAGTATAGAATTCCAGAAGTTTAGAAGCCTAGTAGATTTGGAGCTTATATGGCCCACTCCAGTCGAAGACCTGCAACAGTTCATAGTCTATCTGCACAAGAAAGGGCTGTCACCAGGTTCCATCCAGGGCAGAATGTCTGCATTAGCTTTTCACGCCAAAGTATAGGGATATCAGGACCACACCTCTGACTTCTGCATTCGGAAGATGATTAAGGGATGGAACAAAGAAAGGGGTCGGGTTCAAGATACAAGGGCATCCATTTTCCCAGCATTGTTGGAAAAAAAATTGCCAACAATGGCAGTTTCTATGCAAGGATGAGTATGAGGCAACATTATTTAGGACAGTGCCATTACTGACATTTTTGGGGCACTGAGAGTGAGCAAAGTGGTGGCAGCAGGAAAGGGTGATGCGTCTACGATTGCTTTACAAAGGCATGATGTTAGGTTAGATGATAATAACGTTAGGATTCATATCTATAGATCCAAGACTGATCAGCGTAGCACAGGGGTAACGACAACACAAAAGGATATTTTTCGAATACGCTCAAGCTGGGCTGCCTTGGTACCTTTAGAAGGGCTGGTGCTGGATCTCATATGGGTAGAGGTGGTCCAGCAGGTATTTGAGTCCCAAGCCACATAGGACTTTAAAAATATAACCAACACCTTGAAAACTACTGTCAACCAATGCAGCTAGCCCAAAATAGGTGTATCATAACAGCAAGCACCCATTAATAGTCTCACTGCCGCACGTTGTACCAATTGTAGCTTCTGAGTTGTTTTCAAAGGCAGCCCCAGATACAGTGAATTGCAGTCATCTAATCTTGAGGTTTTGAGTTGCATGGATCAGCATGGCCCTATCAGCCTTATTTAAGGAAAGAGAAAGTTTCCAAACCAGAGAGATTTGATAAATTGCTCACCTGGCTATAAATTCCACCTGTTTCTCTAGGAGGAACATGAGGTCTGATAAGACACTTAGATTCCTTCCTTGGTTCACAACCGGGGGATGGGGTGGGGGAGAGGTTCTCCATCAAACATTAGACAAGTGACAACTGAATTTGTCAGTTGTCAAGTGAATAGCATCACTACCATCTTGCCTGGATTCAGCTCCAGTTTGTTGATCTTCAGACATTTGACCATAATCTGCCACATGAATTGATGCACTTTCGCATGGTGGAAAGAGCCTGGAAAAGTACTTTTTGCATGACAGCTCCAGGACCCCATCCATCAGCCTGGCCACATTTCCTGGGCAGCTTCTGTGTCTGTCCAGACTGGTGGACGCTCAAAAGGTGTCACATCCTTTGCATTCTTTTTCGTGTTCTCGTGAAAAAGGAGTATGGGCATTTAGATATTTCTCGCCATTCCTCTAGCTCCCTCTTTTGTTTCCTCGGCCTTTTAAGCATCCCTTTCTCTTCTGTTTCTGCCCATTCTCAACTAGCTTTTAAAAAGTGAGTTTACACCATTCTAACGTACCTGTTTACCCAGTTAATTTCATATATTCATTTATTTAAACAGAAAAAAACAAAGCCACTCCATGATAGGATCTCAAGATGCCCATCCCTTAAATAGTTTTAACTGGATCTTTTTCAATATCAGACTAATATCCTAGCCCACAATTCTGCAAGATAGCAGATATTCACCTCTATCCTCTACCTGTATCTCTAAAATTTTAAAAGCACTGTAGCCAATCCTTAGGAATTATGCTGAGGTTACATAAGAGAATAAAATCCAGGCCTTCTGTCAGAACCTGGAATTTCTATGAAACCTAGGAAGTCATTGCTTGAACTTACTCAACTGAAGAGTTTCAACAGTGACGTTAAGATTGAATTTCTTGCACGGAACTGTATTTTCTTGCATCATGGCATTGTACACTGTCAGAACCGTCATTGTCGCTTTTCCTTGGCCTGATGCTTCCACGGTGAAATTTTGATTGAGCTTAGTCTGAAAAGCAAACAGAATCAGTGCATACCCTTTGCTTGAATGTTCTTTTTGTTTCTTTGCTTTATTCATTGTTACTACAGTTCTATTTTTTATAAAATTACTATTTACTTTAAAAGTGCCACTATTTACCACTAATACCACTCTGGGTTGGTTTTTTTAGATGTTCTTTAGGAGAGTGGTGGTTGCTGTCAGTGAAGATGGCAGCACAGAAGGCTAACTCGGCTCTAAGCTGGAAAATAACAGACAAATGAATGTGAATATTTGTAATCAGGAAAGGGAAACACTTTGAGCTGGATAGATATGGGAAAATCAAAGAAGATACCAGAAGTAAATACACTTGAATTCACCACAGATGAGGAGGATCAAAGGGATCCAACCAGGATATTGGAGGAGCTGGAGAGCAAAAAGGAGCCATATGATAAGAAAATGGAAAAGGGGCAGAAAAAAATCTAGTGAAGCTAATGACGAGATGAAGCTGCTTATAAAACAATTAAGAAAAGACTTAGAGAATCATATCAAGTGTCTGATCATGCCCCTAAAACAAACTGTCTTAGAGGCTAAATCAAGCATAAGTAAAGTAGAACTGCTGATACTGTTTTTGAGATGCCACAAAGTCAACAATCCAGAAATGATGAGTTGGAAAATGAAATTTGGTAATTAAGGGACAGACAGTTGGCCCACGAAAAGAGACAAAAACATCAAAATTTTCCCCTGAGATTTTTTAAGGAGATTAAGAAGGAGAGGCCGGTGGTATGAAACAAATAGTTTTAACTGGATCCAAAAACTGTCTGAATTGAGAGATAACAAGGAGAAACCTGGACAGAGTCTATATTTGGACAAACTGGACAAAAACAAAAATCATGGAAAAGAGATATAATTATGAGATTTGCTTCATATGCAGTGAAAGCAGACATGTTTTTTTCCTCTAAATAATATCCAGGAATTGGCATTCGAAGGTGAGAAAAAAGAATTGTTCCAAGATCTCACCCCTGAGACAATAGAGAGATGTACACAATGACAAAAGTACACACAGATTCTTCAAGAGAGGGAAATCTATGTGAAGGGGTGATGGCCTCAATGATGATAAGTGGAGCAGAATCAGTTAAGCATAGAGGAACAAGACAAGACTGGCAGTTAAGATTAGAGAAAATGATAACATTTCTGGCATGGCAACCAGCAAAACACGACATAAAATTAACTTATTCGCTGATGATATGTTCTATTTTTGGAAAATCCATTGAAAAGCATAGAAGTACTGAGACAAATACTGTAAACCAGCATACAGGACTAAAAAATGAATTACCAAAAATCTAAATTGTTATGTATAAACTTTCCTATAGTAGAACAAAATAAAATTAGTGTAATGTCAAATTTAGATTCATGTTATAATAGTTTTAGATATTTAGGGATCTGGTTAGCAAAAAACATAAATCAATTAGTATATAGTTGTTATAAGGCTATATTTGCAACTATAAGATAAAAAAATAAAGAAATGGGAAAAACTAAATTTATCCTTATTAGGAAGAATAGCAACAGTAAAAGCCTATATTTTATCAAAATTATTATTTCTGTTTCAAAATATACCCCTACAACCAGAAATGAAAAAGATAAAACTATGGCCAAAAAAGGGGGGGGCAGTTTATTGCAGGAAAAGGAAGAACAAAATGATTCATAAATTCTATAAAATATAGACCAGGCATAAAAGGAGGATTAGCAATACCGCATTCAATAAAATATTATGACGCTTTTCAAATAGCTGAAGTAGTTAACTTTATAAAGGAAAATGAGAACCCTGAATGGGTTCAAATGGAAAAGGAAGGGAAAGCAAACCTCCTCTAATTACGTATATACGTCTAGTTGCTGAGAAATGGGACTCAATTACAGAACCCTTTTGCTATCAAAGTAATGAGAACATGAAGAAAAAAAATATGGAAATTCTTGTCCCTCTAATATCCCTCTTATGTCCTTGTTTAAAGCACCCACAGTTACAATCTTAGTCTAAAACCCTTTGGTTTAATCTTTGGAAGGAAATAGGAATCCCAAGCATCAACTTTATCCCTGACACCCAATTTATAATTTTCAGATCATGTTGCTGTTTTGCTGCTATCCATTGTTTGAATTCCATTAGAAATGTAGTAGAAGAAGTAGCTGCTGTAGTAGAATAACCCTTCAGAGAGATTTTTTTTCATTAACTACAGCAATAGGATCATAGTGTCCACTGCCTATTTTGACTGATGTTGAAGCATAATAGTTTTGCCCTTCTTTCGTTGCTGCAAACTGACAAATAATTTAAAAGACGTTCAGAATCACTTCATCCTTGAAGGGTAGAACATATTTCTGTGCCTTACCTTTTCAACCTGCCACAATTAACTAATTGTCTGTGTATGGGAAAACAGTCAAACCACAGATTCTGAGGTATGCCGCAACTGGTGCCATGCACTTTGTGAAGACTCCAGTCACTATAGAGAGACCAAAAGGGAGCAGATTGAACTTGAATATCTTGTTACCCATAGGTGGGATGGGAATTCTCCCCAAACAGCTGGTGAATGGTCAGCTGCTGGTGGAGCTGGGGACGGGCTGGCTGAGCTCTTGTCTGGATTGGGGCGCTGCTGGAGAAGGACCCTGGCAGCATGCAAAGACTGGTGAGCTGGGGGTGGGCAGGAGATGGTGTTGGGGGGGCTTTATATGAAGCCTGATGAAGGGCTTCATGCCCATCTCTGTTTGCTACCCATTCAGCTAGTGCTGCAACAGAGTATGGTTTTCTACCAATCATGTCCATCTTGTAGCCCGTGCAACTGCTTGGCACTGCATTATGATGCTCTTTTGTTCTGTTTTGATCTAGTTTGGGAAGCCTCCACAATGATGGCATTGGATGGCAGAGTGGTGAACTGTGAGGTGCTGGTGACTGATGGCCCTTAGTTTTGTTTGGGTTCTGTTTAGTGTTTCTTTTCTTTGCCTGCCTGTGGATTTCTTTCTTTTCTTGGGTGTCAAAACTGAAGTCAGTTTTGTGGCTGATACAGGTGTGAACAGACTGTCCTCAATATTATTCGCTGCAGTTTGTTGCAGAGGTTCCATTTCTTATGGGTTGGATCATCCAAGGCCTTTGTCAATATTGTTTCAGACTTCCATGAAGATAGATTTTGATGATGTTTTGAAGACTGAAACCATTGAAACCAATGCTGTCTGTTGTTGTCACCAGTAAAGATCTTTCCCACAAGTACACTTTAAATCTAGACTGCTAGTTCTTGATTGATCGGTACATTTTTGGGAAATGTGCCAATTTTGAGTTTTATGCCCTTCACCCAAGCAATAAAGTGTCTTAAGAATGCCCATAGGTGAGCCGTATTTTATTAGTGCAAATGACACACTTCTTAAATGGGCCCATAGGGGCCATAAAAGACTGGAAGGCCTTGAAACATAACAAACGCTATTCATATGTGTATATATTTAGTGTAGGGATAAGACAACAAACAACTCACAGAAGATAACAAACACATCAAAGAGATAAGAACTATTAAGGATAAGTAACTATATACGGGAAATTTTTGATGAGAAGGGCTCCAGAAGCTCCGAAGATGCTATCCAAGTGGCAGCGGAAAGGGAAATGAAGATTAAGGGTAGGGTGGGTCATATTCTCAGTGGAAACGCTGTGGCCTAACCATTTTTCAAGGATCTGGAATGTTTCAAAGATTCCACCACAGGCACAGAAGGAACCCATTGGTGTGAATCAGAGACCATGAAGAAAAAGCCACTTTTCTTGCTATCAGCGTCATAAAGCAGTAGAGCCAGTGAATAATGGATTAAGTAGAAAAGAGGCTGTCGGAAAGTCCAAAATCTGTCCTGTATAAGTTTGATTACTTGGGTTATTTGAAAAGCTTCATAATATTTTAGTAGATGTGGTATTGCTAACCCCCCATTTCTACTTGACCCATATTTTACTGTGTTTATAAATCTCAGGGATTTACTTTTCTCTGCAATAAATTTTTCCAATATGTTTTGCCATTGTTTTATTTGTTTGTTCCAATTGTAGAGGGAAATTTTGAAATTGAAATAGAAGTTTTGGTAAGATATGAACTTTTACTATTGCAATTCTTCATAATAATGTTAGATTTATTTTTTCCCATTTTTTCCTTTATAGAACTAAATACTTTTTTATAGTTCCTATAGTCTAGTGGTCTTATATTTTTTGTTATCCAAATCCCCAGATATTTGAAACTTGAATAACATAGGTCTAAACCTGTTCTTTTCTTGGTTTCTTTTTGTTCTAGGGTGGGAGTACTTATACACAGCAATTTAGATTTATCATAATTAATTTTTAATACTGTATAATATTTGAATTTTTCCAATATTTGTTTCAATGTTTCTATACTTTCCATTGAGGACTCTAGGAATAAAAGTACTGTATATTGTCAGCATATAAATTAATTTCAAGTTGTTTATTTCTAACCATTATTCCTCAAATATTAATAGTTTTTCTAATAAGTGCCACGAGTAGCTCTATAGCCAGTGCAAATATTAATGGGGATAGGGGGTCTCCTTGTTCCTCTGTATACTAAAATATTATGAAGCTTTTCAAATGGCTCAAGTAATCAAACTTATACAAGACTGCGAGACTCCTGAATGGGCAAGAATGGAGGGAGAAGAACAAGGAACGTTATTGGATGTATATTTATATAAAGAAAGAATGAGAAACAAATACGGAATCACTTTACTAAAGAATTTTACTAAAGAATTACTCCAGATATGGAGGAAATATATGAAAATCTTTGCTCCCCCTACATCTCCATTATGTCCTCTATTAGAACATCCTAAATTTAAATTTCAAGATAAATGCACACAATTTAAAATATGGAAAGAGAGAGAGGAATGTAGAGAATAAGATACTTGTTTATACAAGGAAAATCTACAGTATTAGAAGGAGCTCATTAGTGGAAGGACGCTCAGGACTTGTCCTTGCAAAGATTTCAAAATACAATATGGTGACTGGCTCTAATGGAAAAATGGCTCATAGCGTTAAACTCTATAGAGATGAAATACCAGTAAAACAGAACAAATGTAGAAGTATGGTATCCCTTGTTGGCCTCATGTGCAGGAGATCAAATGGAAAATGGGCTGAAATGCTAGCTAGATTGAATAACTATAGGATTAGAAGTAAAATATATATAATTGTGTAAACATTATTAATATACTATAGATAAGAAAATTACTGGAAGTGTAACTGTATATATAGGTAATTATTATTATTTTTCTTTTTCTTATGTGATCAGAGGATTGTAACTTATTTTTTAAATCACAAAATAATTTTTTTAAAAAGACCAAAATCTTTGAAATAACACAAAAGATAAGAAATAAGGAGAAGATAGATTTAAAAGCCTAAGTGAAACAGACTTATCCAAGAAGGTGATAAAAATGGAGAAAGACCTGCTGCTGGGCAAGGAAAACAAAGACAGCTCAGGCAGAGGTTCCTGAACGAAAGCAAGGTAAACCTGGCTGCCACAATGCTCCCAGCAGCTCTTCTTGCAAGATCAGGAAGGCATTTTGGGGCTTGTGGGTCTGATGGCTAAGAGCAGGTTCAGTTCATGGCTTCCTCTGTCCTCCAGTGGGCTGGTTTTTGTCCTACTGGTTTTAATTCTTAGACTGTTTTGAAATGTTTTGAAAATGGTTGTTGGAGGTTTTTTGGGCTGTTTGGCTGTGTTCTAACGGACCAGTCCCACACACTACACCAGAACACGGAGTTTTAGCTCCGGTCCTCTGAAGATGCCGTCCACAGAGACTGGCAAAATATTAGGAAGAGAAAACTTCCAGAACACGGCCAACCAGCCTGAAAAACCTACAACAACAATCGGATCCCGGCTGTGAAAGCCTTCGAGAACACATTGTTTTGAAAATGTTTTAACTGTTTCAAAGTGTTCAGATCACAAAAAATATTATTTTACCCCTGCTCCCTCAGATTTGCCACGATAGGACATACATAGGATACATTGATAGTTAAGCAAAGCAGGTGCCGATCTATGGCATGGAAAAAAGGAGGCGCTATAACATGACACTAGCCTGATTAAGATGTTCTGTTCATTCTCACACTATTATTTTTCATGTGAAGAGACCCATGAGTAAGTGGAAGGGACTAACCTGCTCCTTTCCCCCATTTATTCCCATTCCCTCTGTCCCTGAACACTTGAGCAGAACTACTAAATGTTTACACAATATATAGCAGTTTTGGCTTTCACACATGTTTCTGATTGTTGGTTTCACAGAGCCTTGTGTCAAGTCTTACCCATCTTCAGTCCTTGTAGTTAGTGAATGAGACCTAAAAACACAGAGCATCTATTTTTTTCCAAAGTGAAAAATAACAGGGGTTTGCTCAAAGAAAACTATTATTTTTCATGTGAAGAGACCCATGAGTAAGTGGAAGGGACTGACCTGCTCCTTTCCCCCATTCATTCCCATTCCCTCTGTCCCTGAACACCTCAGCAGAACTACTAAATGTTTACACAATATATAGCAGTTTTGGCTTTCACACAAGTTTCTGATTGCTGGTTTCACAGAGCCTTGTGTCAAGTCTTACCCATCTTCAGTCCTTGTAGTTAGTGAATGAGATCTAAAAACATAGAACATCTAGTTTTTTCCAAAGTGGAAAATAACAGGGTTTTCTTTTCTTTTTAAATGCTCAAAGAAATGCTGCACCTCTGCTGTTCGGGACAGGAGAGCAGAACCGTAGTTAATCCTGTAACGAATGGCTTCCTCACGCTCTGGCAACTGGATAGAAACATCCAAGTTCAGGTCCTTATGAGTACGAATGTCGATTTCATACTGAGCAAGTGCTTGGAATACCATGATGGTCGCCTAGAACGGGAAGAGAAAGATGAAGTCTTGTCAGTTTGCCTTGAACGGGAGATCTATAAAGGAACTTAGGAACTGGAAATCTGGTGAGAAGAGGTTACTAGAGAAATGGTTTGGCCCCTCATTTTGGCAGCAGGCATGTTCAATACATGTACGCCAGTACAGATCTGGTGCTCCCTGAAGGAAACATAGACAATGTGGGTGGATAACATGTATGTAGGCTCATACGCCTTTAAACATCCATGCATTTGTGGCTGTCGGCACAGCATGGTGTGACACAGAAAGAAGATGGATGACTTAGAATGGCCTTTTGTCACTGAGGGACAGCATAAAAAACTGATGAAATTGCATCCTCTGCATCACTATGAAACCTAAAGGAACCCTGTCTTTTTTCATCTCTATCTTCTAATAGTTCCCGCCATCAGGGTGAAGGGAAATATCCAGACAGACACAAATTTACCACCTCAGACAGCCAAAAGGAGGCAATAATGTAAACGACTATTCATTTTTCAGTAGCCTGACCTGAGAGACAACTCTTCAGAAGCCAATGCCTGAATTCTGTAGCAACGGACAGTAAAGGAAACACTCACCTGAGTTTGGCCATATGTTCCCCCATAATACTTCTGCGCTACCAGCCATTCGACTATGGGACCAGTAGCCTCGAATTTCTTCATTTTCAACAAAGCCAGCAAGCCATAGGAGGTACCTTCGATGTTGTAGGTGTGAGCACCATTTTCTTCCCAACGATTCCCACCTAATTACCAGCAAAGAAATAGATCTTGACTATAGAGATCTTGAGGATGTAAGAGCTAATTATCTTAAGCCATGTAATTCCTAATGAATTCCTAATTTATATTATAAGATTGTCAATGTATTGTAATGCATAACAATACCATAACAATACAATACCGTACTGAAAACTGACTCATTTACTTCCTACCGACAAACCCTTCACTGGAGAAGCTTCTGTAATGCCATGGGATATAATTAAATTACACACACAGAGAGAGAGAATTTATAACGATAACAATTGTAAATGAGGACAAAACTTAGATTGCCATTTCTTGGTACCCAGCATACTTCAACCATTTCCTATCTAGTCCTTACAATTAATTTTTTAAAAATTGGCAAAGCCAAAGGAGCCTATAAGTTTACTGTATATTAAGCAATGTTTTTAATAACGATCAATTGATCTACTAGGGGTTTAATCAGGGGAATAACATAACCTGAAGGGCCAGGTTTGTAATCTGGGTGTGCTCCTGGTGGACCCAGCCGTCTTGATGAAGAATCTGATCTTGGCTGTGGCTAGATCTGCCTTTTTTCAGCTGAGACAGATTGTTCACCTTTGGCCCTACCTGGATAGGTCTACTTTCATTACACTGGTTCATGCACTGGTAGTCTCTAAGACTGACTATTGCCGTGCTCTTTATGTGGGACTACCCTTGAAGATGGTTTAAAAGCTGCAGCATGTGCAAAAGGCAGTAGCCAGGCTGGTGTTGGAAGCAACAAGATATGATCATGTCTCCCTGGTTCGGGCCTATTTGCACTGGCTGCCAGTATGCTCCTGGGCCGTATGGAAGGTTTTAATGTTGACCTACAAAGTGTTGAATGGATTGAGCTTTTGCTACCTATCAGAGCATCTCTCCCTCAGATCTACCAGACTTTCCACCTGCACCTCCTAGGCCCAAATGCTGTGAGTGGCCAGTCCAAGGGAGGTGTGGAACTGAACCTTCTCAGTGGTGGCACCCTCTTTAGGGAATTTACTGCTAGTGGACATGTATTGGGCCCCGCTCTCCTAATGTTTAGAAGACAAATAAAAACATTGCTTTTCAGACTGGCTTTTGAGAACTTTCTCCCTATTTAATTTAATCCAATTTAACTGTTTAACTGCTTAATTTATTTAATTTGCAATATTGTCACTATTTGGAGCTTTTACCTGTATATGTATAGTTGTCTCTGTGGGTTGCCTTTTTCATTGATGTATTTTATCTTATGTTAATTTACTGTCATAAGAAGAGATGGGGATGAATCAAGAAATGAATCATGATATTTGTCAAAAATCATTCTCCGTGTATTTGTTGCTTCGTAAAAAGCCAATGTGGAGGCACCAACAAATACAAAGCAACGAAGTTTCACACATTTTTGATTTGTCGATTTGTCTATCCCCTTTTTGGGCCTCCTGTGCCATCTGAAGCCCGCTGCTGCCAATCAGAAGCTCTGAATAACCCTGGGAGAAACCTAAAGACTTCTGGATTGAAAGGGCAGGAAGCCAATAGCGCTGCTGAAAGGGCTGTGGGATGACTTGGAATGGCCTTTTGTCACTGAGGGACAGCATAAAAAACTGATGAAATTGCATCCTCTTGGCTCAGGCACTTGGTACTGCACTGCTGTGTCATATTGTGTTCACTAGCTTTTCACTGTTGTGGCAGCAAAGCAAACATTTTCCTATTTTACATTTGATTCTTTTATTTCATCATCATTCTTATTTGAAATACTGGCAATCTGGGGAGGCTTTATAGTAGTACATTTTATTTTAGAAGGTATTCTAGTTATTATTTTTTAGGTTTAGGGTTAGCATACGGTGGGTGATCTCTGTGGATACGTGTGTGTGTGTGTGTGTGTGTGTGTGTGTGTATTACCCTTTGCACCTTTATTGTGTGTGTGTGTGTGTGTGTGTGTGTGTGTGTGTGTACTGTCTGTGGGCTCCTGCCAGTGCTGTGTGCCAAAAAAGCACACATTATTAAAAAACTATTTTTTTCTTCATCATTTTCATCAGTGGGACACCAGGCACATTTTAATTGAAAAATTAGTTATTTTTAAGGTTTCCTCAGGGTGGGGTGATTTCTTGGAGTGTGTGTATTTTCTCCTTTGTCCCCATTTATTCCAGAGTGCTTGTGTGGATTGGGGAGTGACTGGTTGGTTTCTGTGTAGTGCAGCCACTACTCGTGTGCTGAAAAAGCACCTATTTAATTTTTAAAATTATTTCTTTATCATTAAAAAAATAAATAAAAACCTTTATTGTCATACACAAAACACCTAGTCAAAAACTAGATTCAGTAAAACTTGTTTGCAACTTTCTGGAACAATATCAACGTTTGTTCAGATTCAATGTAGTTTTATTATTTCTGCCACAAGATACACTCTCCACCCAATCCTATGTACCTTATAATAATAATAACTAAAAAATTATTGTCATAATTAGCCCAATGATTACATCAGAAGATCCTTAAATCTGGCTCAAGGAGAGAGTGCCGGTTCAAACTGTGCTATTTTTGGCATGTTCACTATGTGTGCTAAGAAGCATGCTACTTTATCCACCCTGTCTTCTACCTTGCCGTTTAACAGAAAATGCATTCTGTGTATACTGTATGTGACCACCCTCTTACCTTAAGCAACATTGAGCCCAGATATCAAGCGTGGGATTCAAAATAGCAAGGGCAATATAAACACATGTGTACCAGCGACTCAATTCCTCCCAGTTTACAAGAGCAGTTCCTCTCATTGTAAAGAATACCCTAAACCTGCCAGATAATACTGATGAAGGCATTAGAGTGGTGCCTCGCATTACGATCGCTTTGTTTAATGACGAAATCGCATTATGATGAATTTTTTGCAATCACTTTTGCGATTGCAAAACGATGTTTCCTATGGGGGAATTTCGCTTTACGATGATCAGTTCCCTGCTTCGGGAACTGTTTCTTCGCAAAACGACTATTTTCCAACAGCTGATTGGCAGTTTCAAAATGGCCACCGGGTAAATAAAATGTCTCCCCGCTGTGTTTAGGGACGGATTCCTTGCAAGACAGGCAACGAAAATGGCCGCCCTAAGAAGGATCTTTGCTGGACGGTGAGTTTTAAGCCCATCGGAACGCATTAAACAGGTTTTAATGCGTTTCTATGGGCTTTTTAATTTCGCTTTACAATGTTTTCGTTCTACATCAATTTCACTGGAACGAATTAACATCGTAATGCGAGGCACAACTGTACATTAATTCTGACCAGGGAATAGGCTCTGCGTTTTTGAGGCACTTGTAACAGATGATAGTATAGGGCCCTCTGGCCCTGCCTAACAGGAATCAGGTGGCTTGAGGGGGGGAACAGGTCTTATTTGCTGCACTTAGGAAATCCTGGAATTTGAGATCTAAGATCCCGCATTTAGTCAGTTGAAATGCCTCCTTGTGGGGCAGGGAGCCAAGTGATTCCACTGACAGGCCAATTAGCGAGATTTTCTTTTCAATGTAGGCAAGCTCTCTAATGATGATTGCTTCGGGAAAATGTGGAGTAAAAAACCTGTCCTCTTTGAAGTTACAATGGATCTTCAACCGATATTTCATTGATCTCAGCCATGCCCGAGTTATTATTATATTTTGGCCCATCTCTAAACAGAGGGCTGCATATGGTGCACAAGTTGGTATTTATGAGTTACTGCAGGAACAACCTATTAACAATTAACTTCGAGAAAACTAGAATACAGTGGTGCCTCGCTTAGCGATGTTAATTGGTACCGAAAAATTGCTGCTAAGCGATAACATCGCTAAGCAAAATAAAAAAGCCCCATAGAAACGCACTAAAACGTGATTAATGTGCTCCTATGGGCTTAAAACTCACCTTTAAGTGAAGATCCTCCATAGCGCCGCCATTTTCGGTGCCTCTAAAGCGAGGAATCCATCCCAGAAAACAGCAGATGGCCCTTTTGTTTACCCGGCAGCCATTTTGAAACCGCCGATCCGCTGTGCAAAAATGGGGGCTTTGCAATGATTGGTTCCATGTGATCATCGCAAAGCGAAATCCCCCCATAGGGAACATCGCATCGCTATGCGATTTTGTCATAAAACAGAGCGATGGCTAAGCGAGGCACCACTATAATGGTTTTCTCTAGGCATAGTAAAGCTAAAGAATAGGTTACCGAGGACCAGCATATTAAAAAATATATATTTGTAAAATGTGGTTTGGAAGGCAGGGTTATATGGAGAGCAGGTGAAAATGAAGGGCAGTGGCCATGGAGTCTCAAAGGGGGAAAAGGTCCTGACTAGGCCAGGCACCACCAGTGTTCCTCCTCTGGTGGTCTTGCAGGTGGACATGGAAGCAGAGCTTCCTTCAGAGCCCGAAGAACTGCCCCTCCTCTTCCTGGATGAATCTGAGGAATTACACTGGTTCCAAAGGATCCAGAAATCTCCCAGTCCTTGGAACCAGTAATGGCAGGGCAGGGACCCACTCTTCTTCCTCCAGTTCGTTCTCATTACTCATTGCTTCTTTTTCTGACATGAATAGCCTTCTGTTTTATTAACCAGCACTTTGCTATAAATGTACCTGTTGATGCTGCCATGAGAACCCGGTCATCATTCAGCTGCCCTGCTAGGGCCAAAGCATAGGCTGTAAGTGCTGTAGTGTAAGGTCTTTGCAATGTGTCATACTTTCTGGATAAATAGGTAACCGTTTTTCTGATGCTGTTGTCCAGAATCTGAAATGAAAAGAGGACAGGAATAAAGGACATATGCATTAGGAGTGGTTCAAGAATAATTTTCAGACGTTGCTCATTTGTGTTGTGCCTGGGTTAAGTTTTCTTCATTTATGAAATACAGTGGTGCCTCGCACAACAAGCGCCCCGTAGAGCGATGAATTCGCTCTACGAGGATGCTTTTGCGATCGCACAGCGATGGCCCCAATGGGCGAAAATCGCAGAGCGAAGGGCGGTAAGCGGTTCACTTACCGACCTTCGCTTTGCGACCCGCCAATCAGCTGTTCCACGGCTTCCAAATGGCCGC